AGTTCTGAACAGAGACGTTGAAGGATGAAGAGTGTGGAAGCAGTCGGTTGTAGATACAGACTGGAGACAAAGGAACTGGCTTCAGGCAGACTGGGTGGGAGACCACCTGAAATTACCTCTGAGGGTGAACGACAGACTGTCTTCACAGAGCAGTTTGATCATGTGCAAGTACACACTTAAAAAACCAAACAACAAGAGAGTGTTAGGACTGCCCCTTGCATGGATGTGACATTCATATCTGTTTGGAAGAGTGGCTCTCTGTGTGAGGTGTTGGAGGACACCTGAGAACATGGTTAATACTCATCTTTCCTTTTTATCTGCTTTTCTTGTGTAGAGATGAGGATTTTTCGACAGCTTCTACCTTGTGGGAATGAGCTAGAATACTTTGTGGTTTTATGTCACCCATGCAGAGGTGCAGCCATCTGACCAGTGGTGTCAGCCCTTTACAGAGGAAGCCACTACTGCTCATAGAGGTCACGTGGTGTGAGGTAATGACTAGAGAAACAGGGACAGAGATGATCCGATCAGAGTCCAGTGTGCAGTTTATAGAGGTCAATAACTTGGGGGCGTGTTGTATGTAAGTGTGTTTTCTAGACTCTTCCACAAGACCTACCGAAGGAACAAAGAGAGTGAACATGTAATCCTGAGGAATCAGCCTCAAGCACTGACCATGTGTTTGCAGTTTCTTAGTTGCTCACTGGGTCTTCCAATCCACGCAGATTTGGCATCCTTGCATTTGCCTTGAGTCCCACAGTTCACGGGTTTGGAAAGCATTTGTTACAAATCTCCATCATTGAAAAGTGATACATTGTACCAGGAAAACCTAAGAGAGCTACCCCCAGTACCAGGTTCTGTGCATGTTCTTCTCAACTCATTGCGTGTCATCCTACAGGACAGACCATGCCCCCTCCACTGACAAGGGACTCCATCAGGATAATAACGAGATAGATTCATGGGACTTGGAATGGTGAGGTATTCAAAAATACTCCTGATTGCAATTTCTGTAAACACATTGCATTGCCTTGCTTAAAGGTCAAACTGCAAGCTGAAAGAGTCCCTGGTTCGATCTTCAGTCATCTCTACTGCGACGTGTGGTGCTCCCTGAAGGATGGAGTGGGGGGGAGGGGCTGGTGCCTCACCTCACCCATTAATGAACTGAGAGTCTCAAATGGTCTCTGTCATCCGTTCTCTTCCTCCAAGCCTCAAACTTTATTTAATTATAGTAGCTTGCTGGGAACTCTGAGCAATGCTCCTGGTTTTGTCTTGCAGTTGAGAACTAGGCCTTGAAGAACATCTTCTAGGTAAATCCATGGTGTGTACTCATTAAACCAACCAAGAGAAAGGTGAACCTACCTAAAAATCCTAAGGATTTGCTCTTATGATAGCTTTATATCCACTCGTGATAAGATGTAATAGAGAATTTTCTACTGACACACTGAACGTACATGGCAGAAGCCAGACCAACCATTTGTTCTGTGACTATGTCCTAGTGTTTCATGGTGAATTCATTTCAAGACAACATGGAGACACTGAAATTGAGTCATTCTCTGAGTTTCTGGTGAACAGTTCTTTCCAACACTTGGGTTTCCAGCCTCAACGTGAGTTTCTTCTGCAGTCCTATGTGTGACTCACTCTGACATGACCTCTGTCTCTAACTTTTTAGGCTTACAAAACTTTTTATGACTTTATCCAAACAGTTTTCTAAATCCAGACATTTCAGGCAGGAAAAAAGTCACAGCCAAGTTTTACGGACAAGGAAAAGTGAGATTCTATCCAGGTCCAGGCCTCAGATAGGAAAATCATGTGTTTCCAAAGGTCTTTGTCTTTGAATACTCTTTACCATGAGCCCACATGTGTCCAGGATGTGTGGGGCTCAGACTAGGAAACTTGGTATTTAGAACTTAAAATCTTAACCTCTAATTTTCCTGTTCCGTTAATGGCAATTTGACCGGTTCCGAATTGCTCTCCTTGTCTACACAGCTCTTCTCAGCCCTGCTCTGTAATTTTCCTTTCCTGTTAGCTTAACCTAAGATTCTATTTTCAAAGCTCAGAAATATAAGCCTCGCTCTGTGCTCAGACCATATCATTACTACTCACAACCAGCCAGTGCACAATCCAGAACAAGTGTCTTTGACTTAACTGAGATTTAATTTTCTTATCTTTGCTGGGAGGGAACTTGGCGTTCAAGAGTATTTGCTGCTCCTCCGGAGGCCCTGGTTCAGTGCCACGCTGCTCCCACACCTGCAACTGCCTGTAGTTCTAGGTACAAGGGCGGGGTCTGATGCCATCTACTGGCCCATGTGGGTACTGCACACAAAATGCATATACCACACTCATAAATAAGTAAACAAGCAAATAAGTAAATGAATTTTTAAAAGAGAATGGTAATCATTATCCTAAAGTCTAACTCCTTTATTTAATCACCTGGTGAATGGTTGAACTTCTACTCTGTGCTATAAGCTAGACACAGGAGCCTCGTTCACCAAAATAACAGCCTACAACCTTCGGCAGCTGGTGTTCCTCTATTAAGAGAGAGCATGGCTCTGTGGGGCAGCACAGGACTTCAAGGAAACTGCTCTTCTAGCTTGCATTATTGATGCAGCCATGGCATGAACCTTGCGCCTGATCCTGACTTCCGGCCTCAATCCGTCACTCGCTGGGCAGCTGTGCTTTAACAAACACATTCAAGTTCCTGTATTGTTGTTTGCATATAACTCCCAAATTTCCTGCAGATATTATGAAATCTAATGGCCACTTGGGTTACCTCAAGGGGCTTCCTCAAGCCCAGGCTTAGGGACATAAAGAATGGTGTGTCACCATCAACTGAAAGAAGACACTTAGGGAGCTTAGAGTTTGTCCACTGTTGGGGGCGGGGGAGGGGGAGGCAAGCATAGCTCCTTCAGATTGCAATCTCCTGTTGAGATGGAAATCACTCTAGCCCTGGGAGATGGCTTATATAGGAGAGGGTGATATACAAGCATCAGGACCTAAATTTGATCCCTAGACTCAACAATAAAAACAGATTAAAAAAACAAAAACAGGTATGGAATGTACACTTGTAATTTAGGTTTTGTGTTGCAGAGACAAATGGATCCCAGGGCCTCAGTGGTCAGCCAGCCTAACCTACTTGATGGGTCCTAGGTCAGTGAGAGAGCCTGTTACAAAAGGAGAAAATGGTTTATGCCAGGAGCAACAGCCAAGGATGTCCTCTGGCCTCTACATGCATGCATGAATCACACACACACACACACACACACATGTCCATTCACATGTTTGTACATGCACACATGTGCACATGCTGCTCATGTCTGGGTTGCTAGATTCTTCCCAATCAAGCATATTTCTAAAGAAGACCATGGAGCAGCAGGGTGAAAATCTCCCCTGTACCCTGTTTGTACCCACTGTGCACAAATCTCAGGCATCTCAGGGTCAATCAGCACTTCCTCCTCTTGGAGCTCACACCTATACAAATAGAGCCACCTGTACTTCTGTAGTCCTCACCCCTCAAGTGTCCTCAGGTGCTGTGATGTTCACTCTGTGAGGCTGTGTGGTTCAAAACTCACGCGGGGTGTGGGCGGGGTCGGGCCCGCGGCCGACTCCATCCCGAGAACCACTGCTTGGGACTCGGGACTTGGTTATACTCTCTGCTGATGGTTCGATCCCGCCCACACCGTGGGGCTTGGTCTGTCTGCAAGCTGCAGGCGGGCACAGGGTCCCGGAGCAGTGGCTCAGGGGTGGTGACCGGAACAGAGACGGTGCAGCCAGCGAAGGCCCTGGTGCATGGACCACCACTACAGGGAGAGTGTCTCATGGACAGCTGAAGCAGGGAGCACAGGGAGGGCGAGAAGGCTTTTCCCCCCCGGCAAATTTCCCACTTACACAAAGACACGTCCCAGGAGACACGTGGAATTGGAGATTTTATTGCCATGGTGATGTATCTGAATGGTGGTGCTCTCCCACAAAATGCCAGGAAGGGCTTCCCTATATTGGAAGTGGGAGAGGGGCGGGGCCAGGGCCTTTAGGTAATACGTAAATCTTGAGACAGAGACCTGTTTCCCCGCCCTCTACCTGTGCCTTCCGTGACCGACTGCATGTTACATGGAGACCGAGTGTTAGGTCTCTGGGTTCTGGGGGTGTGGCCAAACACCCCAGGATTTCTACAGTCCTACAAGTTTGTCAGTGGGTTTCCTTGTTTCTATGGAAAGGACAGACTTATTGATATACAGCATGGAACTAACCCTGTGATTGTCCCACACTCCCCCATTGGTGGGATAATTCAGTCAGAGCCTCTATTATGGTCTCCATCCAAGACTCAACTTCTTGCCTTTAAAAGTGAATGTCTATTCATGACCATATAAAACTTAACAGGCATTTAATTATAGGAACAGATTGTGCATAGATTTTTTTAAAAAACTACTTTCTTTAGGAAGTGCTGGTGAAAAAATTGACAGTTATTGGACCCAAATTTCATATGTATTTAAGGCCCATAAGTCTCACTGACAGAGTGGACTGTCCTAGCTCAATAATTAATGTCCTGGGAAATCTCCAGGTAGACAGTGATTTGGATATTTTATGGGCTATTATGTCAAAGATCCATGTCAGACAAGATGCTAACACAATGGTCTGCAGAAAAATTATTGTCACAAGCAAACTACAGTTGTTGTTTTTTTTTTTAATGTACTTTAGATAAACCTAAGGAGGATGTGATACCCTCCTTAATGGCTGCATGCTTTAAGTGACAGGTGACTTCATTGTTATTTCCCAGTAGAGTGTACCTTTGACGATGACCATTATGAATGTTTAAACAGCTCTTGCCTTTGGAGCGCACATTGCAGTGTTTTCCGACTTGTGTTCTGCACAGCGTCAGTGCTACCCCAAGCCGTCCCTTACCTTTCAGAGATAACCTTGTGTGTGTGCATTGTTCTGAGGGGACGGAGGCATTGATGGCCTTGCATGAGGCAATTATGCATCTTTCTTTCTTTTCCTCTCCCACTTCACAGGGATCCTGCTTCCCCAGATTCCGGTGGAATACAGTATCTTCCTCAGTGGTGGGAGTGTGATGTTCTTAGCCTTCGCTGTTGGACGCCGTCAGTCTGCACACCTGACAAACCTGGCTCCATTCACACAGTATGAAATACGGATACAGGCCTGCCAAAATGGTGACTATCTTTTAGAAACTTGACCTAGGCTTGTGTGAAAAGTATCTCAAAACATTTTTTTTTCTTAAAAATAAAAAAAAAACCAGTTACAATACAAAGAATAATGATTAATTTCTGATTTGTGGTAGAATGATTGCCCAGAAAAATCAGAGCCTGTCATTCATTGAAGCCTCAGATATCCCTACACATTGAATGAATATTTAAATACATAAAAAATACATTAAAAGCTACATTAAAATGGTAGCTTTGTAAAGCCTTGTTTTATAAGTCCTTTTAAAAGAAAAACACATGGCTCACAGAAAGGCCATTAGGAACATAAAACAAAATAGGCTCTAGAATAAATTTCATATAAAATGTATTAAACTCGATCTTATTAAACATTTTCAGGAGGGAGAAGGGGAAAGTTATTTAAGAGATGAATTGCAAGCCAAGCATGGTGGTGCATGCCTTTAATCCCAGCATTCGGGGGGCAGAGGCAGGCAGATCTCTGAGATTGGAGCAGCCTGATCTACAGAGGAGTTCTAGGATAGCCAGGGACTATCTTGAAAAAAATGTATTAAAAAGAGTTGAACTGTACACAAATGAGTCTATTTATTTGGTGGTATTTCTTAGAGCCAATGCCTTGGGTCTGAGGTCTGGGCTTTAGTCTGTGGCCTGGCGGAAGCATTGCTATCTTAGACAGAATGTGGCCCACTCCTTCTTCCCTACCATGGAGGACTGAAGAGACATAAACTGATATCCAGAAAAGGAAAACACGGAATCCAGAGAGAATATTACACATTAATTCCATGTGAGAAAAAAAACAAACATATAAAGCCAGGCATTGTGGTACATGCCTTTAATCCCAACACGTAGAGGCTGAAGCAGGCAGGTCTCTGCAAGTTCAAGATCAACCTGCTCTACTCAGCAAATTACAGATAAATAAATAATACCTGGTTGCAAAGTGAGATGCAGTTCACACAGAGATAGCATCTTGCTTCACCTTGGAGACGCCTACCAGGCGATGGACTCCCACATTCCCTGTCTCGTTACCCTAGACTTGGCTCAAGTGTCAGAGCTGGTCTTGATGACTCATACCAGAAACCCCAAGTCCATTTGTTGCCTTGACCCTACAAACCAGGGTTTGTCTGAAGGGTTTGCTCTCCCTGATCCAGCCTTTCACTCTGCAACATGGAAACAGCTTCCACCTGAACCTCTCTTGACGTAAAGGCACAATCACCACATGCCTGGAGCTATGCCATAGATGTCCAATAGTCTTGGAGTTACTTGTTCGATATCTGTGCATCTAAACAACAGAGGTTAGTTTAATGCATTGAGTACTGTTAAGTGTACTATTTGTATCATTTACACACTTGTGAAATTCAAATGGCATCACTTTTTAACTAGAATAACCACAACAGAAATGGAAGCCAGGTCAATCGAGCTTGTGCTTTCTTGCCTACCTCAGTATAAACAGATGGTGACTGAATGAACCATCTAAAATGATTTTAATGTTCAAATTCCATGGGAACCCATAGGACCAAACTGAAACACGCATGCAATGTACTCAGACATATTATTTTCATGGCACTGTTTCTCTCCTATGTGGCTGTGTGACACTTTGCCTGGCTGGACAAATTAACAAAGCCCTGGGTCGCTTTTGCAGCAGGCTGCGGAGTTAGCCCTGGAACATATGTCAGAACACTTGAAGCAGCACCGGAGGGTCTAACACCCCCTCTTCTGAAGGCTCTGGGGTCACCTTGCATAGAGGTTAAGTGGATGCCACCTACGAGACCTAATGGAATCATCACCAGCTATACCGTTCACAGGTGAGAGGTTCACAATTGGGGAGGTGTGCCATCCAAGGGCTGCAGAATCACTCGCATGTTCCACATGCCCAGGGGACAGAAGGGCATTCGTGTTCTATGGAGTACATATGGGTAGAGACTGTGTTGGAAGCTGTGACCTCCGACATGCTACCCAAAGACCAGGGCCCCCAGTTACTGTGTGGCCTTTCCTTGAGATCTGTGTGACAGTTGACAGTCTAGAGCCCTCTGTTTTTGTTTTGTTTTGTTTTGTTTTGTTTTGTTTTGTTTTGTTTTGTTTTGTTTTGTTTTATCTCTTTGACTCCTGTCCTACGTGCCGTTGTCTTTGTTTCTTGCCTTGTCCATTTTTCTTTGCTTCTCTGTGTTTTGCAATTCTAGGTCAAAACCAGGGCCTCACACACAGTAAGCAAGTAAGCTCCATCTCTGAGCCATATATCCCCAGCCCTTCCATTCAGCTTTAAGCCTCTTTTCTTAGATGGCTAGTGGTATATTTCTCCTCACAGTGTGCAGAATTCATTGCATGGATCTCTCTAATGTAAAGGAAGAGAAAGCAGAGAGGAAATGGGAAAGGCAGAAAGGACATGATTGAAGAAGGATAAGGAGGGATAAAGATGAGGAAGAACGAGATGGAGAGGGAGAGAAGGAAGGTGGCAAGGAGAGGAGAAGAGAGGGGGAGGGGAGGGGAGAGGAGAGGAGAGAAGAAGAGAGGAGGGGAAAGGAAGAAGAAAGAAGGTGAAAGTAAAAGATGAGTCAGAGGCCAAGGCCCTGCGTGCTTGACCCCTTCAGCAGAAAACACGGACAGGTGTGGCTGTCAGGCAGCACTACACATGAAGCCCCACTCCAAAAGCCTTGTCTACAAAAGTCACAAAAGTGCAGCCTGCTCCCCGTCACACCCCCGCCATCCCACCCTCTGCTTTCAAACCCTCTGATAGTCTCTCTGGCCCTTTCCACTGCTCTCTGTTTGGTCCATGTACCCTGGACCTAGTTGCTACAGGCATTAGACTCTTTAATTCAGACCCTTCTTCGGTGATCAACTAAGGGTTTGTAAGGCAAAACAAATGGCCAAGGAGAAACTATGGTTACATTTCTGTCTAGTTCCCTAAAATGAGCAAGCCCAACTTCTCAGCAAACAGTAATTTGAAAAATAATCTTTCTGATTCAAATACACGTGGACATAAAAACAGCTGATAAGAATATACACTTTACATAAGCACTTTAGTACAGAGTCTTAGATATCTGGCCTCAGAAATCATTTCCTTCCAATTACTGAATGCTAATTGCATGGGAAGGGTGCATCAGAATCTTGTTATGAATGAAGGGAAATAGGCCACTGTCATAGAGCTGGACTCGGCTCCAGTCTGTTGGTTTTGTAAACAAAGCTCGTGATTGCAGTGAGCATTCTGTGGCAGCGACAGCAAAGGAAAACAGGAACCAGAATGCAGAAAGGCCGCTTCAATGAAAAATACTGTAAATTGAATTTGACAGCATTTGATGGCATTTGATTATTCTAGTCACAGGCAAACAATGATATAAAGAGTAATATGAAACAGAATGTGTTACTGCCTAGCCGACTCCAACGCAATAAACCTTCCCCCAGCGTGACACAATCACTTCACCATCATAATTGTGGCCTGTTTGATACCTCCGAGTACAGCGGAAGGGCGCTGACTGACATAGATACATTTTGTTTTTTATTTAAAGTGAAATGAAAATGGTGCACCGGGGCCCCAGATACAATCGTTATATTCACCTGCCGAGGCATGAATCACTTGGCAGTTATTCCGGCTGAAGTTTAAATGTGCTTAGACAACAACAATATCAAATTTTTCTTAGATAGCTGCAGAAAAAAAATCAGAAATTTGTAAGGACAGAAATAGCACGTAGACGCACAGTTCTTTTTCATCCTGCAACAGACGACGCAGAGCCGCTTCCTTGCATGGCTCCAGCTCGAGCCTGTGGTGCTTCTGAGGGCCGTACGCTGTGCAATTCCTACTCCATCACTCGCCTACTCTCTTCTGTCACCAAAGCAAACACATTCAGCCAAACCAGAGACGAGGCTTGGCCTATGCAGATACGCTCATCAAATCGCCGGAAGCTAACGTGCCAGTTTCATTTTGAAAACGCTTGTGGCAATTCTCACTGATACCCCAGATTACTTCCCCCGGCCCCCTGTAATTCTCTTCTGTTGCTTTAATATTGCTTCTACTTATCACACTCTTAAAAATAGAAACTGCCTGCCCTAATAAAGAAGTAAGACGTTTATGAGCTCAAGAACAAAACAGGACAGTCCAGGTGTCACGGTTCTTATCACTGGGGCTCAAGGAGGAGCTCAGCTCTGCTCATGGTTACGTGGGTGGGAAAGGCATGGCGCCGTTCGGGGTAGACAGAGTGGCTTCTACCCATAGCAGTGGTGCACAAGTTGGCTTCTCCTTCTTCGGATCAAAAGCAGAAGCTGAGCCCACCCGGAGCTCTCCTCTCCGGTCCTAAGCCCATACCTCTGCTAGCTCGGTTCCCAAAGGTTCCACAAACTCTCAAAACAGCACCACCAACTGGAGACCAAGTGTTCCAACACCCAGGTCTGTGAGGAGCGTACCATATTTAAGTCACCATAACCTATTAATGACAGACTCTTAATGTGAATGTCTCAGCTTAAATTTCCAGTTACCTAGGCTGCCTGGCTGACACCATGCAAGTTATAATGGGAGTTTTCTGTAAGGGTTTTCATGAACAATGAGGAAGTTTAAGGTAGTGTTTTATAGCTTATTTCTTACCGAGAATCAGGCAAGGCCAGCTTGCATGGTCATGTCTTCCTCAAAGAGAGGTTGGTTAGCTTAAAGATTCTTTAACCACTTCACCAGGTCCACAGCTTTATAAATGGTAAAATTCTCACCACATCTACAAACTCCATCCAAGGAGCTTTCTTAGGAATTGACAGAACACTTAGTAAAATTACCTCCACCCACTAGGAGCTTCCGTGTAAAGAGATGAAATTACAAAGTGCTTACAGTCCCACGAACCTTCCCTTTTAAATGAATAATGATGTTTGAACTATGTGCATTAGAAGTCAAAAGTGCATACAAAGACACTTTAACACTGTGAAAAAGAAAAGAAAAAAAGAAAGATGAAACTTCCTTTGGGTATTAAGAAAGACTTTAGGTTGGTGTTTCCAAGCAGGAAACAAAAATGATTCCATAGAATGAGTGGATAAGTGACTGAGTGAACTGAGGAAAGGAGACCATTAAATCAAAAACAAAGAAATTGATGAAATCTAATTTATGTTGTGTGAAAAGGCAGCTGTGGGCATTGAGTTAGATGAGGAATAGCTTAGATATATACATATATGTATATCAAGGGATACACGGCTCTTTAAGCTTTAATTCTTATTACTAATGATCTTGTTATTACATAATACAAGATAAACAAAAAGTATGATGAATAATAGAATGTGAGACATGCAAACACTGGTTGAAAAATTTAGAGGTGCATTACTTACTTTTCATTGCTCTGACAAAACACCACAACCAGAAGGGGTTTATGGACAAGCAGGTTTCCTTGGGCTCATGTTCAGAGGGGGGAAGGTCCATAATGCTGGGGGATGGGTGGCAGCAAGAGGGCAAAGCAAGAAGCTGAGAGATCACATCTTTAACCGCAGAAGGAAGAAGAGGGAGACCTGAAAGTAGGGGAGACTCTAATCTCTCAAAGCCTTCCTCCTTCCTCAAGGCTGTGCCTACTTAAGGCTCCATAACCTTCTCAAACAACACTGCCAACTGAGGACCCCAAGTGTTCACATATCTGAGCCTATAGGGTTTGTTTGTTTGTTTGTTTGTTTGTTTGTTTTTCATTCAAACCACCACAATAGAGTAACTCTATTTTTAGAATATTCATGGAATATATCATGCTGTCAAGGTTATTAAGACTAGTCTTTGCAGCCAGGAGGTGGTGGCACACGCCTTTAATCCCAGCACTCGGGAGGCAGAGACAGGCGGATTTCTGAGTTCAAGGCCAGCCTGGTATACAGAGTGAGTTCCAGGACAGCCAGGGCTACACAGAGAAACCCTGTCTCGAAAAACAAAAAACAAAAAAACAAAAAAACAAAAAAGACTAGTCCTTGCAAAGTTAAGACCTTGGTGACTACTGACATTTTAAAAGAAATGTTTAATAGGAAAGAGTATTTAACCACAGCAGAATGAAAGGTCACATAACTCATTCTTATAACCTGGCTAAGACATATATAATCACTATGAGTAGATGTAAACAAACACTAGTCATTTTAATATATTAACATTGATGCATTGTGTTTTCTTTTATATAAAAACAATCCTATTTCTCATTCTTTTCTCCTGGAGGTCTCATGCTTATTAGTCTATAATCTTTATGCAGTAAATCTTTTTGTGATCATGTTAAAAATAACACATTGATTATTTCTTCCAATTCTTTTACTGTTCTTCTTATTTCTAAAACTGAAATTAATTTTGTGAACAGGAGTAAGATAAGAATTCCAGATCTTCATTAGAAAAGAGTTTCTCCACAGTATTTCAAGAATTACCAGTTTGATATGACACCTATTCAAAATTCATTATTTAGTCCATTTAAGAAACACACACACACACATACATACATTATATATAGAATATATTACAATGTATATAATATAGTATGATATATGATAGCCATATATAAATATGTGTCACATAATTATATATATTTATATAATATATAATACAAATATGTATAAATACATATATGTGTACATAATACATCTATATGTATATATACATACAGACACACACACATGCACATGCACGCACACACATACACACACTGTGGTGGATAGAACTTAACTGACCTGGCAGTGAAGGTATTATAGGTGTCAATAAAATAAGAAAATTCCCCAACACCAAAGTCCATAGTTGAAGTACTTGTCATGTGTACCTAGAGTCAAAATTACTCTTGAAACAGACTTAGGTCATCTGGATGTTGACTTCAGATGGACTTTAAACAGGCCAGGCTTAGGTGCTTGGGATTTGTGGGGTGTGTGTGTGTGTGTGTGTGTGTGTTTTAATATCTATGATGACACTGCTTCTTCATAGAAAGAACATGGGCTGTGTGACCAAAGCAAGAGTCTGCCACTTCCTGGTGAGTTACCTATAATGTTATGCAGAGTTGGGCTCAAGAACATAAAGGATAATTGATCTCTGCAAGTTTTATAAGAAATAGTGAAATGATACCTGTGAAGTACAGTGTTAAATGCAAAGCAACAAAATTAGGAGCAGAGCTGGAAGTCGTGGATACTTATTGAAGAACGAAGGAAGACTCTTAGTGAGAAAAGAAATAGGCTCAGTAACAGGGTGCTTAATGCGTCTGTTTTTCTTTAAGAAAAGAGGATTTTTTTGTTTACATTTATAGGTAAGGTGCCTAAATTCTTAGACACCAAACTAATGACAGCAGTACTTATCTCAAGTGACAGGTATGAAGAGTCCTCTCAACCCTCCTACAGTTCACTTACCATCATCCCATGTTTACAGTCAGTGTGTTATATGGCGTAGTAAAGGCAACATTGTAACTTGACCGAATCCAGATGCAATCTGCCATCGCTCTCCATGATTTTCCTATCTCACTCTTTCTGTAGACCTCAACACTTTCTATAGCAATCAAGGTGTAATCAGGAAGAGAGGAAGAGAGAGAGAGAGAGAGAGAGAGAGAGAGAGAGAGAGACCAAATAACCAAGGGATTTAATATCGGTAGCCATGCAGGATACATGTGTTAATGAGGTAACTGCAAAGCTAAGAAAACTCCAGGATAACTTGGGAGTGGCAGCTGTACAACAGTAGGAGACACCTTAGCGGGTAGGAAACAAAGGCAGTAGACAGAGTTATTAAAACAGAGAAATCCAGAGATAGACTCTGAGCAACTGGGTCCCAGAATTCCTAGAAGGGGTGTTTGTGGTGCTGGCTCCTTGGGGAGGAAACAGAAAACTTAGCTGTTTTCTCAAATGAAATTAACTTTATACTGGACACATCTCTTCCCAAGTGGGAGATTCCTTGCTGGCAAGATACTCAGAGTGACAGCCACAAAAGGACACAAGAAGAGAGTCAGTTCCTCTTGCACTAGAATGTCTTGGTCCCATTATTGACAGAACCCAGCATCAAGTTCCTTGATAAAGAAGAAACAGAGATCTCGATCTATATGATCTGTAGTAAGTATATTTAAAATATTTTAAAAAGGACAATTTATACACAAAGTGAGAACAAATGACGGTGGAAAATCCATACTTTCCTGATTCCTATTTATCTTCATTCTCCCCCTAGTGATAGGCAATATTAAATCAGCTGCTTTCGAAAAAGAGTTGCCCAAACGTGCTCCACATGATGAGTGGCCCCTGTGGCTGTCTACTGAAAGCTGAACACGCTATCTTTAAACACACACTATTTGGGAGGAACAGGACCAGGAACTGTTGACACCCAATAATTAGGAAAAGGAATGTGTTCTCAACCTCTTCTCTGGGTGTGTTCAGATACAAAGAGATCGTGGCCTTTAACACCACACACGGGATGCAGCGTGCTGTTCAATTCTGTCAATTTATTACGTAATCAATGTAAGCAATACTTTCCCAGGCTTCATCCTTTCATTGTTTTGGTGAACACACTTGAAGCTACCGTCGCATTGCATCTCTGGAATAGTGCAGGTCCTTAAAATTCCCCCTCAGACAGCATTTTCTTTTAATGTCATTTTTATGAAAACCATGGCTACATCTCAATTTGGGAATTCATGAGATGTTTAATAGAAATTAATTGGATTGTCATAGCAAGTCTGAAGTAAGACAACATAGACAATGTAGTCTTCCCGTAGAACTCTGACAGGTTTGCTTACACTGTCCTGTCCCAAGCAGTTGTGTTCTAGAATGCTAACCAGAGTCCTTGGCTTCGAGTCCTGGGATTCTCATTAGAGTAGAACCCTCTCCATCATATGCTCAATACCTACAATGTGCAGCAGGCACAAGAGACAAATTTGGCACACCTACATGGAATTCGTAAGTAACCTGGTCCATGAGTGGAAGCAGGTCACAATGAAAGCACAGGTCAGTGAGGTAGACCTTTGACATCTCTCTGGCTCACATTGCTCATCCTCAGACCACAGTGATTGGTCCCCTGGAGAAACGTCAGATTCCCAGCACAAAAAATTTTTCCACATCCTGCTTCTATTTTGTGAAAGGTACTGTCATTTGCTTTGTCTTAATCACCCTCTGAGTTTTGATGGGGCCAGTTAATCTGATATGGCAGCATGTGTGTTCCCCAGCGTCTGAAGAGGGTGTTAATTAAAGACTTCTAACAGCCTGGAAAATATTGATTTATTCAACACTCTCTTCTCCACTAGAGACTGGGCTGGAAGAGGAGGGCCCTGCTTTTCATTACATTCTTAGCCTAGCTCTCTACTTCAAAATAAAATATAAGAATTGATAAAGATGGGGCCAAAAGGCAGAAAAACGTCATGAAGTTATAGACCTTTTAGCCACTTGTTTGTAAAGTAGATGCTTGACCCCTTCATGGACACTGGGAGCATGGAGATGTAACAGGCCCAGTTCCCTTCCTGTCAAACGTGCATTGGGATCTTACACCTGGATGAGCAAAAAATCTGTTCCCAACACAACATCAGATATGTTAAGGCCATCTTAAATGAAAATTTGTTTTCTCTTGCCTCCGTGTTTAATGGTTTATATATTCAATGCCAAAAGACAATGCCTCGAGCTGAGTTTTGTTAGCAACAAAACCTCAAACATAAGATGACAGAGTAACCTTATACTCTGGGAGTTAGAAGAATATTTTGAGACTATTTCAGACTGTGGTAGGTTTTAGGAGATATCAAAATCGTCCTTTGTCTTTTAAAACTCTCTAACTCAAACTCTTGATCTTGTGCTCACCATGTGGTTTCATTTGCATACAGTCCTGTTTCATGGTTTCAACTCTTCTCCTTTGGGTATAGCTGGCTCATCTCTGTATTCCTGTTCCCAAGTCAAAGATGGTGTTTATGTGTGGTTCTTGATGTATGACCACAAGTGTATTAAGTAATAACACTGAGAACGTTTCCTGCTTTGAGGGAGTATGCTTTAATTAAGATTAATTTAAATGGAAAGGAAATAAGTGGCAGATAAGAAATCCATAGAAATACTGCTCAACCACCCTGCAGTCAAATGCAAGGCCTATCACTCTAGGTAAACCTCCAGAAGATCTGTGGGTTCTCTGGCCATGGCTGTCCCACAGTGGGCCAGCAGAGGTATTGGGGCATAGTGATCCCCAGAATCCCACAGCAGCAGAAGGGTCAGCCTTGCTATGCTTTGAAGTCACCAAAGTCACATCAGTTATCAGCGAGTCATATGAAACCTCAGTCATACGGAACATCAGAGAGCCAGAGAGTCATATAGAACCTAGCACAATCCACCTACCATGAGCTTAGGATTCCCCAGACACCAGCCACTGTGTGTCCAATTCTGTGGTTCTCTGTCTAATGGTAGAACCTAAATAAGACTGATTGTGCACTCACCCATGATCTGTTCCTCACTCGTAGGTATAAAAAGCATAAAACAGGTCTCCATGCACATGAATTATAACCTGGTGTTGATTTACTGAACTATTCCCTCATGACAGCCCCATGGGCTTCCCAGCTCAGTTAAACAAATCTCACAGGCATGCCCAGATGTTTGTCTCCCAGGTGACTCCAGATCTTGTCACCTTGACACTATTAACACGAACATAGAAAATACAGAGAAACATTTCACTAAAATATAATATATGCCCCAGGTTGTAATTTTCAAATCATTTATTTGGTACCTTGCATCGCATACATTTTTTTTCAAGAGAACATAATACAACAAAATGTGATCAGTGGTTACTTTCCAAAGCCTGAAGAAAGTAACTTAAGGAAGAGTGGGAGGGTGCAGTCCCTCAGGAGGGGAAGGCATAGTAGCAGGAGTGTCCCGTTCCATCCATAGTCAGGAAGTGGAGGGGTACAGGAGTGCCCCATTCCATCCATAGTCATGCCAAGAGGTGTGGAGGCTGGTGCTCAGCTTGCTTTCCCTTTTTATTCAGTCCAGGAGCCCCGCCCATGTGAAGATGCTGCCCACAGGGTGGATCTTCCCAGCTCAGCTAACCCAATCTACACATTTCCTCCAAGACTTTCTGAGAGATTTGTCTCCTAGGCGATGGTAGAACTTGCCACATTGACAATAGTAAGCATCACAGTACTGTATTGCCTAATTTTTTGTATCTTGTATATTTACATGTTTCATATGACCTATATGCACTCTTCAACACACACATATGTGCGTGTGAACTACATTAAGAAAATGACCTTGACTAGACCTTTAGCATATTCCTGATAAAGAACTATTATCAAGAAGAAGACAATCTTCTTGATAACCAAGACGAGGAGGGAGGAATCCTAAACACAAGTCTCTCTCTCTCTCTCTCTCTCTCTCTCTCTCTCTCTCTCTCTCTCCCTCCCTCCCTCCCTCCCTCCCTCCCTCCCTCCCTCCCTAGCTGTTTGAAGTGTCTGGGTGTCACATGGCTTGCTTGGTTTTTTTGCAGGCGTCCTGCTGACACTCAAGAGGAGTCTCTGCTGTTTGTCTGGTCAGAAGGCGCTCTTGAGTTCACTGATGACACAGAAACCCTGAAGCCTTTTACACTGTACGAGTACCGAGTCAGAGCCTGGAACTCCAAGGGTGTAGTGGACAGCACGTGGTCATCAGTACAGACCCCGGAAGCCCCACCTCAAGACCTCTCAGCCCCATGGGCTCAAGCCACCAGTGCTCATTCAGCCCTGCTAAACTGGACACAGCCAGAGGCCCCCAATGGCCTTATCTCCCAGTACCATGTAATCTACCAAGAAAGACCAGATGCAGCAACAGCAGCACCCAGCAGTTCTACTGTGCATGCTTTCACAGTGATGGTAAGAACTTAGAATTCATAGCCTTCAGATTATCTCGTTAACAGGTTATAATTCATTTCCTTATCTGCTTGTCATTTCCTCACTTAGAGCATAAATATATGAATTTTCCACATATGAAAACAGTAATATGGTCCTAGGGATAAGATAACAAATTGAGTATGAGGAGTATTTGGGAACCAGTTGGCAGATGAGAACTGATTTGTATTACTACAAGCAAATAAATGAATCTCTGTGCCTGATTACCTTTACAAGCCCACTAAATGGGAATAATTCAGAATGTCCCTCAATATTGCATAGGAATAAGACAAGAACATGTAATTTTCGAGTATGTCGAAGAGTTAATCTTACACACATATGTATGTTTACATGCACACAGAAAGAGGGCAATAATAGTTCATGTGCTAGAAAAGACACATGCATTCTAACAGGGTATTGATTATTCTTTCCTGAGCTCTCACCCTGATGCATAAAATAATTTCATTAGTTTACCTAATATTCCCTGAGAGTTTGCTTTATGCAAAATACTCATGTTCTATGAGAGAAGCAGAATTGTGATGATTTTTGTCTCAAAAACTTTTATATAATAGAGATGATAATTATATGGAAAAATATACCTATATTGCCCACTGCACTGGGATTTAGATCCCACACCCCACCACTTGCCAATCATGAGACACAGTCCAAGAACAGGTATCATTCGGAAAGCATTGCTCAGGAGATTCCCCGAAGTCAACAGGAAGCCCTCAGTCTGGAGAGCCTGAGTGGAGAAAAATGAAATGTTAGGGTTTTAGGAGGTGAGTATTCATGGTTTTCAAAATATTCTGAGACATCACTGACTAACCCTTGCAAATAAGGAGATGTCTAGATTGCATTGAATATTACTCTTTAAAAATTAAAGCCATTTGTTTGTGCTTTAAGCCTATGGAAGCCCAATTTATACGAAAGTTAAAGGAGTTTGTGATTATCAGAATGGAGAAATAGCACCGGGTGAGTGTGCTGTGATGTAATTCCAAGAGAACCTTTGTAAGCGGATGGTAAAGTCTAACGTTTACTGCCATCTTTATTTTTCTTGTATGGCCGACAATAAGCAGCACGAGAGAAAAGACATCAGTGTGAGCTTCCTTATCTTATTTCACAATGGATATTTTGTTCTCTTTTTTGACATTCTTTTTCTATCAGCATTTCCCCCATTTAATTTCCAGATCCTTCTTTATAAGCAGTAGTTGCCACTGTCTTATGTAGAAGCAGTAATTTCAGCTGATGATTTGATCTGCTGGGAAATGTTATTTTTATAAACTGTATTCTTAGAACTTGTACTCTAATCTTTCACCCATAAAGTAATTTTGGTTAAAATACTGAAACACCATGATAAACATATTTTCATCAAAGGCACCAGTAACAATGACCAAACCTTTGTTCTTCTAACATATAACTTCCAAGAGTGAGTATATGGGTAGTCATCTGTTCTCCCCAGGTCTAATGGAATTCCTTGGAGAGAATATCACAAGTCATTGTTTATGTGGTTTTATTATAAAACATGATTCGAGGATCTGATGGATGTGAGAACTCTGTCCTTTGTTTGTTCTGTTGGGTTCTATTTATACATTGCTAACATGTTCCTGGATGAGCAACCAGCCTATGGCCTCAGGCTGGAAGCTACACATGAAGTGCTTCCTATCATTGCCTTCCACATCCCCATCCTTACAGAGCCACAGTGCAACACTTTTTCTATTTTTTTTTCTATTTTTTCTATTTTCTTATTAGTCTATATGATGCTGAAGAGACTAGCCAGAATAATCAAGAAATTATAATATTCCTATACCTTATTTTTGAATGTGTGTATTCATCCCAAGTGACCTTCCAACATTCTGGATCAATGACTCTGAGAGCAAGACTTCCCAGAGATTTGGTTGGATTCATTAGAAAGCTCCATTTGAATTGTTAGAGCAACCAAGGCCATCTTCCATAAAGCTAGGATTCAGACATTCTGGTCACCAAGCCAAATCCCCAGGGCATAGTTACCATGACTTCACAAGGACTGATATTCTGAATCAAAAATAGACCATGGTCTATGAATCTCATCCCCTTCTACATTCCCAATGTAAAGGCTGTGTTTAACCATACAAATTGAGTGTGTGTGTGTGTGTGTGTGTGTGTGTGTGAGAGAGAGAGAGAGAGAGAGAGAGAGAGAGAGAGAGAGAGAGAGAGAGAGAGAGAGAAAGGGGGAGAGACTTTGAACAAAGGCCACTTGTAGAGGAAAGGGATTATTTGTGGTATACATCCTGGTCAGAGCCTATCATAAAGAGAAGTCAACACAGAAACTCAAGGTAGGAACTTAGAGGCAAGAACTGAAGTAGAGACCACAGAGGAATGTCCTTACCAGCTTGCTCTCTGTGGCTCGATCGCTCCTCTGCTTTCTTATACACCCCAGGACCAGTCTGCTGCTCAGGAGCGGCTCCTCCCACCATGGCTGGCAGGAAATGACCAACTGACTTACCTACAGTACAGTGATGGAGGATGCATTGCCTCAGTGGACATTCATCTTCTAAGATCACCCTGGCTTGTATCAAGTTAGCAAAAGAACTAAACATTACACTATATAGCCAAATATCTTCTTCTAAAATTTAAGCCTAATTTTTTTTATTTGCTTGTTTTCTGAACAACATGTCCTCCCCATATTGCTGCAACAATTTTTAGAGTCAAGCATATTTAATCATGTTGGATAAACAGTCATGAAAACTATGTTCCTTATCAGTACTCAGTGTTGGGGTGTCTACCAGATCAAATATGAGGCACAAATTATTAGCTGGGCACTGAGGTTTCTATGACCCTCACTACTGGGTGTCTTCTGTCTCAGCATATAGGACTCCCTTTTAAATGTTGCTCCAAGACTCCTCCTGGATTTACTTGCTCTGACTAAAATTTTCTCCAGCAAAGAAGTGACGTTTACTGTAAATGAGACATGAAGTGCAAACGCGCAGTTAGAAAAACAAATCAACCCAGACTTATGAAAGACATTCCAAACGTCACTCATTTGGTCCTTTGATTATTGTGATCCCATATTTACTCAAGGGACCACCGAAATATCACCACCCATGGTTTAAACCCATTCCTAGCTTGCCCAGGTCCCCCCAGAGTTGTTTAGAAGCAGGTGGAGGTTGCTGGGAGAGTCACAAGAAGCAGGTGTGGTGGAGCCACGAATCCTGCTGGAGGTGGCAATGGATGGAGAACAGGCAGCAGGAGCCCTCTGTGGGGGTGAAGAGGAGATATCTTGGCAGGAGGAGCAGCAGCAGCAGAGGCAGCAGGAGAGGAGAAATGGGGACTCTGTGGCTTTTAATGCATCTCTAATTTCTCTCCCAACATGGTAAAAAGCCACCTCTCTTCGAGTCTAAGTTGGTCTTTCTGAAACGAAAAGACTCAAATTCTTAGGGCGTCTTCAGATCTTTGTAGGCTTCCTTACTGAAAATAGGCTTCGGTTACAAATCCTTAAACTTACTTCCCCCATTAGCTCTGTGATGGATGGTGCAGTGTCAGAAGAGAGGCTGAATTTAGCCTCTCTTGGCATGCAAGAGTTCCATGGTGCTACTTGCAGGAACACTCCTGGCGAGGCTGGCGAGGCTGCTACCACCACTCGGGTCTGTTTGCCTTTGCTCACTGGCACCTGCCATCCCATTGGCACCTGTCACTGCACTGGCAGAAATAATTTGGGTTTTAAAGGCAAAGGGGTTTTACCTACAAGTTGATGCTCTAAGCATGTCCCTTCTTGCCCTACAGATTATAGAACACCGAGCCCAAAGCATATCTTTGCCCAGTACCCTGATGGTTTCTTGCTCCATATGTAGAATCAGGCATAAAGAGCTGATGAAATGAGCAAGCAATTTGGGTCACTAAGAGTTGGCTTCTCATCTGGCCATAAACTCCAGAATTACAACACTAGTCTCTACACTCTGGTTGCCAAACTCCCTTTCCCAATGTCAAGAAGGAGGCATTTAAAATTTCCTCATGTGCTTGGCCCAGATCTCCTTACCATTAAACAGATTTGTAGCCAAAACACATTACGAGATACTTCATAATTGCCCTATTATGAAAGGTTTGTGAGTGAATTGATGGACTCAATTCTAATCCCATTTTCATTTTGGCTTATTATAAAGTAAAATATTACGGCTTCTTAACACATGATCTTATATTGGTTGTAGCTGTGACCCTATGGCATTTCTCAGCCTTTCTTCTGCAGACCCATCTATCGAGTGGCAGGAATGCTCTGTAAGATGGCTTCATTCTAGAAAGATCTCTTGTGGTACAAACAATGGTAGGGAAAACGCTTGGCAACTCCACCTGGACTCCCTTGTGTGTCTGTCCAATAGAGAGATTTTTTCACACTTTATAGTGTAACTAGGTCATTCTTTCTATTCTATGAAGGATGCAGGACATGTACAGGCTAGCATCATACAAAGCAGTGAAGTCTCATTATCAGGGCGTGTTTGATTTGATGTTGCGTTCGCCCTCACTAGCTTTCATGATCTCCCTCTACCCCCCTTAAAAAACTTTGCGTGACTTCTTGAATTTTTATTCTGACCAGCTCCACTAAGACTCCTGTTTCTACCCAACAACAGTGGCAAAGATGAGTCCCACAGTTTGTTCTCGAGTCCTTCTTCACTGATAAGCACCAACCGTATCATCTAAACCCACTGGTTTAAAGAGGAGACATCATGGTCATGTGACTCTCCCTTCTTTATTTTTCTATTCTTTCACTGATCTCCTCAGAATCATGGGAAAGGGGGATGGGGAGAAGAGGAGGAAAGAAGGAGGGAGGATGGGGAGAGGGAGGGAGTGAGAGAGGGTAAGGAAGGAAGAAGGAAAGGAGATGAATGATTTAAGAATGAGCAGATGATAATGTTCTGATTTATCTTCCATTGCCACCGCTATGCAGGTACCTCTTGGGAATTATATCTACATGTTACGTACAGGACCCCCATGGGACCCCCACACCCCATACTCCT